GAAAGGCTTATCGTTATTTAATTTTCATTCACTTCAGTACATTTAAATATACTTTCTTGCTCTTCAAGTTGTCAACAGAAAATAATGTACATGTCAAGCTCATGCTACCTGCTGTGCCTTGAATTATTTAGTGCTTTTTTCCCCACCAATTTCTTCTATCTTTATCATATAAATCTATGTAACTGATTAGTTTGCGTCCAGGATAACTGATAAGCTTGCAATTCATGTACAATCTCAGACTGTTCACTGTTTCTGAAAAGTAACCATATCTGTCAACACACACACACACAAACATATACACTTTTCTTTTATTAAGGTATGAAATTATGCTATGAGGAGGAGAATCCACTCTCTAATAGTTTGCATCCAGGATAACTGATTAGCTTGCAATTCATGTACAATCTCAGACTGTTCACTGTTTCTGAAAAGTAACCATATCTGTCAACACACACACACACAAACATATACACTTTTCTTTTATTAAGGTATTAAATTATGCTATGAGGAGGAGAATCCACTCTCTAAATCAGGATGGGTTTAGGTGTGCAGGTGGAGCATAGTTGTGGGAGAGGCAAACTGATCTGTATAAAATGGGAACGAATGGCAGAGAGTGATGAGCAGGTGGGACACTGCACGTGTTTAAGGGGAAGAACTGAGAGTCCTTATCAGCAGAGAAGCCCAGAAATGACTTTAGAAGAAAAGCAGTTACTATGAGAGTTTTAAAAATGGGTTGCTGTGAAATGTGCTGGCATCTTTTTTTCTATATATCTCCTTATACTGTCTTTGATAAAGGCCATATGACTTACTGAGGGTTTTATATAACTAGATTATTCATCATATAATTAAACAGAAAAGTGAATTCTGCATCGGGGTTAACATATTTTGCAGCAAAGGCTAAATTGAGAACAGTAAAGTTCCTGAATTTAGACTGATGGCAGTTAACAAAAGTTCCTGGGAAAATTTCAGACTATTAAGGCCATGGATTGAGATTCCTGGGAAAATTTCAGACTATTAAGGCCATGGATTGAGAGGGGTCAGACCTGAAATTTCTAATGTGTGAAGTTATACACAGGTGATGTTGGGGTTACATGCGGAATGACATATGTGGAAGAGCTAGAGAGTTAGTCCAAAGTGCAGCTATGATTAGAAGATGGGGATGGAAAGCAGAGAGGCCCAGAGAAGAGTTGGGATCATGCCGAGCCAGGACATTGAGTCAGATGGTAGGGCAGGGGCTGTGGGCTCACGTTCTCCTTCTGGTGCACCACCTCACATTGAAAGACCTTTTGTGATAGTTTCATTGCTCTGTGATTAGGCTTGGAATTCTGGTGGGGAGGTGCCCTCTCAGAGCCCAGCTGTCTGAGGCCACAGTTGCTTCCAGATGATGGAGAACTATTGCTGTGTTCTGAGCAGACTTAGTACCATGGCTGAGCTTAAGCTAGACTGCATAAGACATTTATTCCATTTTCTACTTCTTTGTGCTGGGGCTTATTCTTCTGTTTTTCTACCCCTTAGTGATGAATCTATATTTGTCAATGTTTATGGAAATCAGAATCATGAATCAGGTAAGCGAACCCTAGAGCCAGTACCCAGCAGAGCCTGATTTTTCCCTATTTTTCTTCCCACTTTCCTTTTCACACATAGAGATACTCTGAGATGGGGCCTCTTGGGATAGATTAGAACATCAGACTTCTAGAGAAGCTTGTTAGACAGTGCAGGGGTCCCAGTGAGGAACAAAGTTTTTGTTTAAACCTCCAGTCTAACTGCGAGATGGGCAAATTCAGGAAAGAACCTAAATCCCTGAAAGGGATTATGATGAGAGATCAGGATCCCTGCAGGAGTGCCACAACACAGGTTCTTCAGTCACCTTCTTGAAAGAAAGCGAGCCAAGATGCCGGGTATTGTTCAAGCTTTATTAAAGAAAGAAATCTGCCGGGCTGTATTCAAAATGGAGGACAGCCCAGGGCTGCCCTGAAAATGGGGACAGCACCAGGTGTGGGGGTTGTAGAGCTTATACAGTGCACCAAGAGCTGGGTGATGTAATTCCGGGGTTGGGATTGATTTAGGTCATGGGGATGGAGAGTTCTGCACAGGCAGAAATGCCAAAAGTTTCATTTTCTCTGAAACCAAGAGGCTTCTTGTAAAAGAGAATGGCAGAGGGGAGGGGAGGAGGTGGATGGTGCCATTTTGTACTTGAGCTTGTCTAAAATGGTCCTGGTTATGTTGCAGATCTATTACTTCTGAGGTCGGATTATCAGGGCTAAGCCTCTGTGGCAGGGCTGTTCTGCAGCACAGTGCAGACCTGGGAAAGCCTCTGATGACCTGTAAAGGACAAAGCTCTGGTCTCACGGAGAAGTCTCCTATCTGATGGAACCTCATGCCTCTGTGGGTGTGAGAATCTATGCCTTTCCTCAGCAGCCTTCCTCAGCAGAGCACCACCGACTAAATAATTATTCAAGGATCATGTGTAGCTAAGCCTTAGTAATTTTTAATTTCTCAAAGAAAGAAACATAGAAAATATTTTATCCACTTTAAAATTGAGTAATGGGGAGCAACACCAACTCTTGAGGGTTGTCTCTCCATCCCCATAAATTTCAAAAACCCAGTATATCCTGTTAGAATTAACCTTATCAAAATCTGCATATTTAGGATTTACTTCTTAGCCATGCAAATTTATCTTTCATTGCACCTTCGTCTTCCTATAGGTAGTAAAGAATAGATCAATTTTTCTACTTTTGTGATAGGAACATCAAATTCCCAAACACCAGGTACTAATGATGCCATCCCCACTGTAGCTTTTATTGTTTATATAAAATTTCCATACACTTGGGTCTATTTCTGAATTTTTAGCTCCAACGATCTACCAGTCTATTCACCAGTCAACAAAGCTCATAAGGCAAACCACCTTCACTTTTTTCTTTTTCAGAATTTCTTTGGCTATTTTTATTTGTTTTAATCTTTAAGATTTTTACAATAACATGCCTAGTTTCAATACCTAACTGATGACAGCTCTATTGAGATCAAATTAAATTCATAAAATAGCTTAATGAAAAGTGATGTGTTTATAATATTGAGTTTTTCTACCCAAGAACATAATATGATCTTTTTTTACGTCTACTTTCATACTGTCAGGAGTTTTCTATGCTTTTTCTCAAATACACTTCACAGTTTTGTTAAATTTATTCCTAGGTACTTTTAAATTTTATTTTATATTATTTATTTTCTATTTTTGTAATTATACCCCACACACAACTGTAACGTAAAATATTATTTTGTACATATGTAGGTGTATGTTGTGTATAATTCAAAGCTATGTATTGGGTTCAAATTGATTTGTAATATTTTATTACTGAGTCGACCCATGTACTGCAATGACAAACTGCTGTCCCCCAACTACAGCCACAGCTGTTGGGTCTAGAGTAATCAGCGTGAATATAGCTCAGAAGTAAATAGAAAATGGTGCTCTAACCCACACAGTCAGTAACAACAACCTCCACGTGAACGAACGAGGTAATCATCTAAAATATTAAATACTCAACAAACATTGATATTTTTCTCATCTCTATGTTAAATGGGAATGATAAGGCAAATGACAAAACAATACCAA